TAGTTAGTTAGTTAGTTAGTTAGTTAGTTAGTTAGTTAGTTAGTTAGAAACAAAAATAATATCAGTCAAACATAAACTAGTACAATTTAGTCTATTTCAAGCCAATAATAAACTTTTTTGATTTTTTTCATATTAGAGATAATGGATGGATGGATGAACTTGTTTTGTTGTCTGATCTGCTTCAGGAGAAGAAAGGGCAGAGGAGGAAGATCAGCAAATGAGTGATTAAACTTTGATCAGGCAGGTCATCTGGACAGTTTCTTTTTTGTGGAAAGACATTTTGCTATCTATCCGGAGGGCTTCATCAGTCTGAGGAGTGCCAGTAAACTGTTTTCCCCACTAAGCAGTGGGGAAAACAATCCTTTAGTGGACCATCCAGTTTGCTGGTGATAAGATGGATATTGGGGGCTGTCCTGTCCCCCATCGACTCCTACCAGGCAGACAGACACAGCCAAAGTGGTTCAAGACATCAAAGTTCATGCTCAATCATCAAGGTACAAAATCCAATAATGGTCAATCAGGTCATCTGGACAGTTTCTTTTTTGTCTTGATGTCTTGAACCACTTTGGCTGTGGCTGCCTGCCTGGGAGGAGTTGACAGGGGACAGGACAGCCCCCAGAAACCATCTTATCACAAGGCAAGCAAACTGGTTCGTCCACTAAAGGAGTGTACTGCTTAGTGGGGAAAGTTTACTTGGGACACCTAGACTGATGAAGCCCTCTGGATAGAGGGTGAAATGTATTTCCACAAAAAAGAAACTGTCCATGACCAGACTGACCATTAATGGATTTTGTATCTGGATGATTGAGCATGAAGTTTGATGATAAAATTATGTAAATGTGCACGGATAACTGTAGTTTGTGTGAATGCATTGTAAACTATCGATTTTCTGAATATTTTCACAGAATCTTACTAGAAGCTTTGGTTATAATTTAGTCTATTGTTAAACTGCCATACAGTTTTTATCATACAGTTGATCTCACGTTCAAATATACAAGAAGAGGAAAAATACTGCTGGACGCCTTTGAGCCAATCAGGAGTCGAGTTTTGGCATAGTGCTGTGACGTCATATCTATGAGCCCAAGTCTGTCGCACAGCGGTGGAGGATTCATGTAATTTTCACAATGTTGTAGCCGCCTTGTCATCTGTTTGGGGCCAAAAGAAACACCGTCTCATGAAAGTACTCGTCTGTTTTGGTGGGGGGGATCTGCCATCCGACACCGAACGGTTCTGTCTGCGCGAAACAGGGAATGAACGACGAGACAGCATCGGACAGCTGGAAGAGAAACTCCGGGGACTCCAGGTGAGGCTGCCCTTATCAAAACTGAGAAGTCTCGGGATTAAACATCATATTACTGTTTACGAAACACTGCCACTTTCAAGCTTCTAATTCAACAACAGCTATGGAAGAGTGGCTAGCAGCCGTCCTCCACTGGGAGAGATGGGGGTTCGATTCCACCAGCAGTCACATGCTACCCCCTCACTCCTCCAGATGCCCACAGCTGGCACATGGGCAGCGGTGTGGACATTGTGATGATAGAACATGTGGACTTAATCACTAATTTTGTCTTTACAATAATATCACAATGTGTTTTTTTCCTAATATTGTGTCTTCCTAGTGTCGGATTTTTCAAATGTAGCAAAAAGTATTTTGTTCAATATTGATAGTGATTAACTAACAGCATAGCAATACGTTATTATCATTGCAAACATCATAAACTGATAGAGCTTTTAAAAAATTGGTTAACATTTTGTTGCTTGTCAAACCTGATGAAACCACAGTGTTGACAAATTAATTTTTTGTTCTGTTTTGACGACATAAACTTACCACAGCTTTGTGCCTTAATAACAGCTGAAAGCTTAAATATCAGGTCTAAGCTCTAAATGGGTTCAGAACAGTTTTTGGGAGCATATTTGGAAAACTCTTAAGTAGGTGAACAGTTTGCTTTTGCTTTTTTCAGTATTGAGCAAATGCTGGCTGTGAATCCCGGAAAGACGCCCATCAGTCTGCTGCAGGAGTATGGAACGCGGATAGGCAAAACCCCAGTGTACGACCTGCTGAAGGCCGAGGGACAGGCCCACCAGCCCAACTTCACGTTCCGCGTCTCCGTCGGAGAGATCAACTGCACCGGCCAGGGGCCCAGCAAGAAGGCAGCCAAGCATAAAGCAGCTGAGGCTGCTCTGAAGATGCTCAAGGGAGGCCTCGGGGATCCAGCTGGAGTCAGTGTTGGAGTGGATGGGTTTATTGAAGTTGATGTATCTACTGATGGAGACAGGTCAGAATCTAAAGTTATTCTCAAACATTATGTATCTATGTTCCATGTATTTAATGATGTTTCATGAAGCAGACAAACATGACTGATGTTTTAAAATTGAGTAAATGTAAGATCAAGGTTTGTGTGATTTTTAGCATTTCTTCCTCTGTTTTCTGTGTAGCTCTCAGTCAGAGATGAAAACCTCAAGCAGTTCTCAGCAGTCTGAATGTAACCCAGTGGGGGCTCTGCAGGTCAGTAAAACAAATAGGCTATGGGTTTATTTTACTGCTTGACTACCCGGTAACTAATATTTTTCTGTTCTAACATTGTTTTCATAGTTTTACTCCATTTTTCTTCCTTTATTTCTCTGTCAGGAGTTGGTTGTGCAGAAAGGATGGCGTTTGCCAGAATACACCGTCACCCAGGAGTCTGGTCCAGCGCATCGTAAAGAGTTCACTATGACCTGTAGAGTGGAGAGATTTGTAGAAATTGGTACATTGCATAATGTATCATTCTCTCATAGTATGTGTTGTGTGTTTGCCTTAGAGGAAATTATGCATTTACCACACGCAGTAAAATAAATTATGCTTTTAATGAGTAATTGTGAATGGAAAACATGTTGAATCTGAACAACATCAAATGTGTGCTTTATTAAAAAACACATTCTGATTTTTGTCTTTTAATAACCAACACTCTAAATAGGGGAAACATTATCTTCCATGTTTAACAAAGCCTGGATAATCTTTGGTTACCTTGAAGTCTTGCTAAATGACAGAGTAATCTGATATTCCTGTCCAGGAAGCGGCACGTCCAAGAAGCTAGCCAAGAGAAACGCAGCCGCTAAGATGCTCTCACGAATACATGATGTGCCAGTAGACCTGAGGGGCAGCAATGAGGCTGACGCAGAAGAAGATACCTTTAATTTGGTGAGACCCAAACATAAGTAAACTATTTTTTATAGATTCTTGGAAATGAACAAGCATTTTTACAGAAGAGAAGGAACATGTTTAAGTTAATTTACAGAGAAGAATGACACTCGCACACATTTTCAATTTATTTGTTTGAGTTGATTTTTCCTGTGTGACAGTCAGGAAATAATGTTTGTTCACTGGTGCATGCAGCATATGGGAAGCAAAGCAGAGTCGGGTAAAAGTAAAGGCTTTAGCTGCACGTGGGACTCTCTGCGTAACTCGGCTGGAGAGAAGATCCTTCAGCTGCGCAGCCACCCTCTGGGGATGCCCTCGGACTCAAACTTCTGCTCTTTGCTGCTCGACCTGTCCGCAGAGCAACGCTTCGATGTCAGCTACCTTGATCTTGGTGAGAAAACAGTCAGTTACCTTTTCTGTATTTCCCATTCTGATCACGTTGAAGGATTAAAGGATTTTTATATCAACAGAGGGGGAAGATACGGTGAGTCAGGTGTTTGTGTGATTTTGGGTCCAATGTGATTAAATGGCCAACCTCTTCAGGGTGTTTTACACAAAAGATCAACTAGTTCATCAATGAGTAACAATCACCCAATAGCATTGGCCAATGTTACAAACCATCAGATTTGTTTGACTTTGTACAACTTGTGATAGGCAGGTATAATTACTTTATATTAAATAAGCTGCATGACATAGATTCAAAATATGTTAATTTACTGAAAAAGGTAAATAAATTACCTTGAAAATTTCTTTGCAAAAAAAGAAGAAAGGAAATTGATGCTATTTATATCATATTTTTTATTTATTTATTACATTTAAGTTCAGTTCGTCACTGTTTAGTTTTACTTTTACTGTATAATTTTATTATCATATTTCTTCCATTTTCTCTGGACATAAGTTTACAGAATATTGGCTGTGTTTTATGTTTTACTTTTGTCTAGCTTTTACTTACCTGTAGTCTAGTAAATGTTTTGACACATGACACATTTTCACAAGCACAATTTTCAATGCCATAATATCCTATCCCAAAATATGCAACACTTTCTGGAAGCTTATTGCAGCCAACATGTAGTTATTTGGGTTATTTGCAGTCTTAGCCCTCAAAACACAAACGTTTCCACAGTTTCAGTCTAAAATGTTTGGTACCTGCCATCATGTTGACTGAAAACTGAGCGTGCATCATAAAATTGTAATCGGCTTATTTGTTTGTCATAATAGAGCAAAAACACAGATAAGATGAAATGGTGTGACACATAGGGCTGCTCATAAAGTGTTTTTTTTTTCTTTTTCTAGAGTTGGATGTTATTGTTTTTAACTTGGTATGTTTTTCTTCTTTTATTTTTTCCAGAGGAGCGCAGTCTCAGCGGTCTGTGTCAGTGTTTGGTCGAACTGTCCACACAGCCAATCACTGTGTGCCACGGCTTTGCTCCAAACGTAGACGCCGCTCGAGCCAACGCAGCCCACAATGCACTGCAGTACCTTAAAATCATGGCAGGAGGGAAATGAGAGACCACACTGATTTATTTTACAAAGACTGACTTGCCTCCACACAATGCCATCATACATTTCTTCTTTAAACAATGGAAACATTTTTTTTTTGTATTAAATTTTTAAAAAAGGACAAATTATACCTCAGACTGGAGAAGAAAGACTTTTTCTGCCTTGAAATTAACCACTGAATTTAATTTTTGTCCCATTAATGTATGAAGGGTGCTGGCGAAGCTTAAGATGCCCAAATGTAAAATTCACTCCCTTGAAACTGTGCACATTTGTCACACTTTTTTTTTTTTTTTTACATTTATTCTTCATGTAATCTACGGTTGTTAAACATGAATTTTAAAAATATGTATCTGAAGTGATAAGTGGTACATATGGTCACAAATGACTTGATCCAACTCCCATCCATTCATCAATCTTTTTTTCTATACCCGCTTATTGTCGCGGGGAGCTGGTGCCCATGTCCCAGCAGTCACTGCGTGAGGCGGGGGTGGGGGGGGTACACCCTGGGTAGGTTGCAAGTCCATCACAAGGCCTGAAAGCCAACTTTGTTTTTTAGTGAATGAAGAAACTTCCATTTATTTGTTGTTAGTTTTGAAAAATGCTAGTTCAAATGGAATGATGTTAGCAAAACTCCAGTTTGTGTAGGAAAATGAACTCTTAATGAATAAATGAACTGTTTTAAATACAATTCATTTAACAAATAAGGCTCAAGAAATATGACTTCAGTTATATTATGAATTTGAACTCCAGAATTGTACATTGTCGTTTTATAAATGTTCATGTTTTGAATTAGAATATAAAGTCAAATTGGGTGTATATTTTTGAGTATTTGAATTGCCCTTAACGAGTTTCATAATTACTATTTTACATCTCTTATTACTGCAGTCTGTGGGAGTTTTATACCAGTTCTGTTTTAGGTTGTGAGTTCTTAAATTAAGTCTTGCTCAGTACGAAAATATATTAAAAACTTTAACTAATAACCAGACTAATAATGTTATCAGTTAATCTGAGTTTAATTATTACCTCATGAATGGTGTGTGTGTAATGCCCCAAATACAAGTATTTCTCTGTGTCAATTAAAAAAGACCTTTTAATATTTTAAATCTGACAATGTTCTTTTCGTTGACTGCCCTTTGAGTCTCAGTGTAAAGTTTTCTAAAGCTCACCTGTTTAACTGCATGCTTCTCTCATTTGCTTCAGATATCGATACAAAGTTAGGTTTAGGTTATGTAGTTGTATTTTTATCCAGGAAAGAAATATACTCAAAACCAAGGAAGCTATTTGCTGTTTTTTTATAACTCAGGGTGTTTCCATTGTGGATGTGAAAAAGAAGTTTTGAAACAGATCTTTGTGCAGCACTTTTAAATACTTTAATATGTAAATGACATGCAAACTCCAGGAGAAATTGTTGCTGTGTTTTCAAAACATTGTACATTTTACTGTTGAATAAACTACCATTCCATTAATGTATTCAGTCCATAGCATGTTCTATTTAAGTCTTTAATTTTTTGTGCTTTGAGTACTTTGCTTGCACCTTTCATAGTGTCTTTTGATTTTACCTCCCCAAGATGCTCAGGTTAAAAAACCAAAACCTCAGTTTTGTCTGAGTTTAAAAGCAGAAAATTAGGGGTCATCCAGGCTTTTATGTCTTTTAAGACAGGCTTGTAGTCTAAGTAGCTGATTGGATTCATCAAGTTTCATGGACAAATATAACTATCATCAGCATAACAATGAAAATGTATCTCATGCTGTTTAATAACCACCTAATGGAAGCATATATAAGGTAAAGTGTATTGGTCCAAACACTGAACCTTGAGGAACGCCATGACTAACTTTGGTGTATGATGAAGATTAATTATTTATATTTACAAATTGGAATCTATCCTATAAATATATTTTAAACCAATTTAGAACCATTCCTGTAATTCCAATATCATATTCCAGTCTCTAGTAGAATATTATGATCAACTATCAAATGCAGCACTGAGGTCTAACAGGACTAGTGTCCATTGTCAGAGGCCATGAGAATATCATTAGTGATTTTCACCAGTGCTGTTTCTGTGCTATGATGATCTCTAAACCTTGACTGAAACTTCAGATTATTTGCTTGCAGATGTTCACACAACTGACAACCTTCCCAAAACTTTACATTTTAAAAACTTTTTTTTTATGTTTGTGCACTTTTTAAATGATCTTGGGAGCAGAAATAAGTTTACAGATAAAGCTGCACCCATCATCTGCTGTGTCTTTCTGGTGAGGGGCTCACTTCTTCATCTGCATAGCCGCTGCTGTCAGACTGCACACTGTCGCCTCGGACCACTTCACCTACATCAAGACAAAGTTCAGCTTTACATGTTGCAAACTACAATTTAGCAGCTGCTTTTTAACCTAAACTGGCACAAAAAGGCTCCATTTTGACCCGATTTACACATGAGTGTCAGAAAGCTCCTTTTTATGTCAGGCTCACACATCTATTTTCACATCAGCTTGAAAAGATGTCAGATAAGGCTTTACAGTAAGCCTAAACTGAAATATCCCTTTGATAAGAAAGAAGAAGCAGCATAAAAATTAACTATGCAAATTCAGTAAATGAGCACTATCAGCGTTGACTAACACCCTGCTCTTCCTCCCTTTCATCGCAGCTCGAGGTGTTGCTTCACATGAAGTCAGCAGTTTGATGACCAAACAAAACATTCTGTGAAATTTAATGCAAAAAGCAAACTCTGACGGAAATATTACCTTTGTATGAATATTTCCTAAACAGTGGTGAGGTGGCTGTTGTAGCTTCTGATTGCGCAAAATCTTCCTCTCCTGCACTGTGCACCTTTGCAAACAGAAATAATAAAGTATTTTACAACGTGAGGAACAGGAAACTATGAGAGCTAGACAACATGAATTCAACATCAAGGTCACAAGTTTCAGGCTTTCTTCTAGTTCACTGAAGCTATAAGCTGTAGTTTCTTTTTGCATGTGTTTGTTTTCTAGTTCTTCATGGACTTACATTACAAGTTTTGCAAGCATGCCAGTACAGCAGCCTTAAAAGTGCTGTAAGAGAAACCCCCAACACAAACGCATTCCACAAAACTTGAAAACAGAGAGTGAACAGCTGCTGGAAAGTAACAAAACAGGAAACACTACATTTAAAATGGCACAAAACCCAAAACTCCCCAACAAAATGGAAAACACTAAACAGTGTGCACGTAACCTTGAACACGACGCTTTGGTTCAACAGTCAACAGGAAGTTGAACCTATCTTTCCCTTGAAATAAACTGAGGTCAGAATCAGTTGTTTTGTTTCTCTATCTCACAATAACAACAGTCATAGTGATAAAAGTCTATTTGTCGAGTTATTTTCTGATAAAAATACTTCCTTGCTCAGGTTAAAATATCAAGTGATAGATGAAATGATTTCAAACTCACAATAAAACAAAAAAGCGCAGCTTGTTTATCTGAGATTAATTTACAGATACAAGTAGAAAATGTTCCATCAGGGAACATCCAGCTCTCTGTTACTCTGTCATTTATTGACTCAACACTTCAGTGGGAAGTGTGGTTGTAAACTGGGCACACCATCAGAACGACTCTTGTTCCCACCAAAATCATCTCATGATCTTAAAACAACAAACCTCATTTTTGAGAAAATTAGTTATTTTTTCTTGTGGGACCCCTTCCTTATCTACTTTTAAGAGTAGGCTTAGGTCTCTTTTTTGATAAATCCTATAGTTAGGGTTGGCTTGGGTTTCCTGAACTATCCCTTAATTAGTTCTGCTGCTATAGGCTTAGACTGCTGTAGGACAACTTGACCACATTTCCTCACTCTGCTTATGTCTTTACTTGCTCTGCCTGTTTTATTTGTAATGATTTCTCTATCCAAAATATGTGTTTCTTGTCTTTCCTCCAATAGAAAGCACACCTGGACCTGCCGTTCTGTGTTCGTTTGTTTCTCCTTCCTGTCCTCTCAAACCCCAGCCGGTCGAAGCAGATGGCAGCTCGTCCTGAGCCTGGTTCTGCTGGAGGTTTCTTCTTGTTAAAAGGGAGTTTTTTCCTTTCCACAGTTACCTTTCTGCTTGCTCAGGATGGAAGACTGTTGAATAAAGATTCAATGCTATCTGGCTTCCTTAGATAGATAACTTTTATTAATGGGCTTTTTTAATGTATGTAAATGTGTTTGTACAGATGACTTCTGTTGTGACTTTGCACTATATAAATAAATTGAATTGATTTTGAGCTATTTTAAGATAAGAAAAATCAAATATGTTGGTGTTAAATTCCATTCTTTTGCATTTTAGAAATCTATCATGAGCATTTTTAACTTGAATCTTGAGCAACCAGCGACTGCTTTTCGAATCTCTTCATTCAGCCAGAAGATTTTACAGAACATCCCTAAAACCAATCAAACTATAGCCGTACACACACATATTGTTTTCAGTTTGGTTCAGCATCATACGTACCTCCTCCAGCTCGAATGAGTTGACCTGCTGAGGGTTACTGGACAACTTGGCCAGGCCTGGATTTGTTAATGGATCCAGGTACTGTTTCTCCCCACTAAATAACTCCTTATGTGTCTGCATGGATGTAACGGGTGAAGTGTAACAGGAATCTGCTGTGTTCTTTGAACACAAAGAAACATCCTTCCCTTCCCAGCCGGTCACAGTGATGCAGAAATGAGGGTAGCTGCCACTGGGTCCCATGGCAGGAAGTGACTCAAGGGCATCAACATGTGAGTCTTTTCCAGAAGAGGCAGCATTACATGTACCGGTATGTGAGGCCTCATCTGGCTCACAGATCAGGGTCTGTGTACGGCATTTGTGTGATTCAAAGCCTCTATCTGTGCTCTCTGCCACAGAAGAGTTATGAAGCAGTCTGTTTGAACTGTGTGCATTTTGGCAGATGGAAGACGCCTGGTGTGCACTTCTAGGGCAGGTTAGATATGCACTTGTAGTGGCAGGATTTATCTCAGCTGTCCTTCCATCACTTTCAGTCCTGCACGAGTCCAGCTTCAGCTGCCACGCTGGAAGCAGATGTTCTGTTTCTATAGTCGTTCCTCCGGATAACGATGACCCCAGAGATGTACTCACACCGTGAGGAACATTGTTAAAATCAGTTTGTCTGCCACGGTTTTCACCATGTTTGACAT